TTTCTGGTTGGATTTAAAGCTTGCTCCACAAGCAGAACTCACTCATGCCTGATACTGTTAACTTGACCAAAAAACTCATGACTGGTTAGGTCCTAGGTGAGAACCTATTATCATCACCCTGCTAAATGGACACAGTATTAAACTGCCCCCCTCCCAAGTTCTTGTCTTTATACCCATAGGTTAGTGCATATCTTGACTCTCATAAGAACCTAGCATACTCAGGGCTGGAGAGATGGCTCAGTGGTTAAGAGTACTGACTGCTCTTCCCAGGACCCACATGGCAGCTCACAACTGTCTGTAACTCCAGTTCCAGGGGATCTGACACCCTCCCACAGACACACATGCAGACAAAACACCAATGCACATAAAATAAAAATAAATAAATTATTTTTAAAAAAGAACCTAGAGTGCTCAGCTCTAGATGAGGCATCTATATTATACCCCATCTCCCCAAGACTCAGGGATTTTTATAGAAGTGGAAGTGGGGGAATAAAGGATTGTAAGAGCCAGAGGTAATAGACATTTGCCTTGAAATATTACTTGTTGGACATGGCAGTTCCACCGTACACATGAACGCATAGTGCCTGTGACTGCACGCACAAGACCTGAATAAGATCAAGCCAACTAATATCCCAGCGTTGACAGAGGAGGACTTATGAAGTCCCACCCCCAGCTGAGAAGCTACAGATGACTAACCCATGCTCCAGTAGACAGCTCTACACTCAGGCATAGGCAGGCAGCACTAAGTGGATTCAGTGTGTTGCTGTGTTGGGGGGGGGGGAATTGTAACGAAGTTGGGGGAGATGGAGAGGAACTGGAATAGAGAATGGATTTGATCAGAACACATAAGCATAAATGAAATTCTCCACAGAGACAACAAAAAAAGAAAGTTGTGGTTTGGGTCAGAGTGTAACTAAATTATAGAATACTTGCCTAGCATGTACAGTACCCCCCCCACCCCCCCCACCCCCCCCGTTACACATGGAGGAAATGCTGGCGTTTGCCTATACCGGCTCCTTGATTCTTGAGGTAGTTTAATGTGGTTTACAATATGGGGGATTCATTTGCTAGACTATTCTGGTGTGTGTGTGAGAATAGAAACCATGCCTTCAGTGGTATTGCCACCTTACAAAATAAACCTACAAAATAATATACTATAATCCCACTTCGGAAACGATTCATTTGGGGCTAGAGAGATGTTTCAGCAGTTAAGAGTGCTTACTGCTCTTTCAGCAGACCCAAGTTTGAGTTCCAGTTCCCATACTGGGCAGCTCACAACCATCTGTAACTCCAGCTACAGGGGATCAACAGCCTCTCCTGCCCTCCTTGGGCATGTACACACATGGATACTTAAAATACATACACACACACACACACACACACACACACACACACACACACACACACACAATTTTTTTTTAATTTAGTAAGAATTTTCTTTTTTTAGTAAGAATTTTTTAAGATTCTTTTTTATTCATATTTACAGATTTTTTTTCTTTCACACTAGTCCATGTTGATAAGGCAAGAACTTTCTAGAATTATGACCTAGTAAGAGTCCAGATGGTGCTTCCTGACTTGTCCTTCCTTGTTGCCCTCCAAGAGCAGAGGATGGAGGGACAGCCACAGCATCAGGGAATGTGGACACTGACCTGAATCTGCTAAACTCCTAAGAGAAGCCAAGTGTGTAGGAAGTGACATCAGAGGTCTGACGGGGGACCTGGGTGTGGAGGTAAGAGCAGTCACTGCAGCAGCAGGGTTCACGCCTACTCCGTGTGCATGCAGGGTGCCCACGTATCTGCAAAGCCTCAACAACGCTAACAGCCCTGTGAAAAAACAAGAGCACACAGCCCTCCAGAGCTCACCCCTTAGCCCAGCCAAAGAGCAGACAGAGCCTGGGAAGTGTGGGGGCACGAGTTTCCAGAATCCGGCTACCGTAGCCTCCTCGCGTTTTGTGGTGATCACAAGAGCAAATTCCAAACTGCGGATGGAAGAGGAATAACACTGAAGAGAAGGGAATGTACTGAGTCCCGTGTCCCCAGCGGAAGCCTGGGTGAGGAATGCAAACATCTTCAGGAATGAGGAGATTCAAAAAAAGGGTGCCGCCCCCTCTGACCCTGAGACAGCCCAAACTCCTCCAGATCCTGGGATTTGGGGGGAGGAGGAAGACAGAGTCAAGAAGCAAATTTTAAAGGAAAAGAGTGTCAGAGGGAAGGCAAAACCAATGGGCTATTTTAAACCCTCGTGACCTCTCTTGTCATCCTCGTTGGGAGAAAATGCGGTTGGTAGGGCCGTAGGCAAGAAAGAAAGGCTCATCAGATCACCTTCCTGGAAAGGTCGTGGAGCAGGCAGGCGGCCACATCTGGGATAGAAATAGCCCGGAGAAGCTTAGCTCCACAGTGCTCAGGACCTGAAAGCCCCCAACTCAGGAGACACCAAGAAACTGCCCCCTGCAGGGGCTTCCCCCCTGGCAGCTGCCTCGGGACTGCAAATGAGAAGGAAGCCTCATTGCTCTTCTCTCCGCTGCCCTTCTGCAAAGTGTGCACCAAGGCCTAGGTGTGTCTGTTTGAACCTTGCCTCTAGATTTAGGGAAGGAAGAAGGGCTGGGTGTGGCCAGGCAGAGAGGCAGATGACAATGATCAATAGGTGTATTTTTGAACTTCTTGCAAAAAAAAAAAAAGACCACAAAGAAGAATAGGGCTGACTTCAGTTACCCATCCACATGTCAAAGGGGAGCTTTAGAAGGGGTTAGAGTCAGGAGAGGCTGCGTCCAAACACGGACAAACGGCTGAACTCTCCCGCACCCATTTCCTCATTTGCAATAGAGACAATCACTCTGAAGATTAAACAAATAAGGTACTGGAAATTCTTAACCAGTAAATACCAGGCGAAAGCTGTTGTTTAATGCTGTGTGTTAAGTTTTGAACTTGAGAGGTTCTGGGAGCCAAGACTGGATCAAAGGTCTTCCAAATACAAGCCTGCAAAGGACAACATCCCTCGTCCTTAGTGGCCCCATCTTCCCAGTCTCTTGGACGTGGTCTTGTGCTGGGCAGGGGCTGGAGTTTTCCTCCCCCACACAGGCTGTCACACTAAAATGTTTGTTCGGCTTCCTTCCTTTCCAAAGCCTAGCAGATTAGATGGCTGAGTCTTGTCCCGCTTACCAAGACAGACAAGAAAAAGTGAAAGTAGGGTTACCCAAACGTCCACGGAGGAGGGAGCTCACCGAGAGCCGCACTGCGCCCAGTCTAAAGTCCTAGCAACCGAGTCCTTAGAGAGGACACAATAAAGAAAGCCTCATAGCTCTCTGAGCCCCCAAAGGCATAGTGGTCTACACTGCGGTCCATGTCAAGTTAAATCTGAGCCATTCAGCCTACGACAGGGGCATAGCCCAGCTGTACACCTGCATGACACAGGACAGGAAGTCAAAAAAGTGCCATGCCCCTGCTGTTTTGTCTGTCTAGTGTTCCAGAACTTTCAGCAAACATCTGGGGGGGAGACAGTGATGCTCTTCTAGGGCTTGACTGCCCAGCTAACTTGACTTCCTCGACTGTCCCCTCTGGGACTGAGCCGGGGTAGAAAGGGGTGGGGGTGGGAGGGCATTGCAAGGTAAGCTCTCTGTCAGACTCACTTGATCAGTTGCCAACAACCAAACCCTGTGTGTGTTCAGGATTGCTTCTGTCCCCCAGTAAAATACCAAACTGAACAGACAGAGTTCAGCTCACTATGATGACGTGAGAGAGGTTGCAGGCCCTACTTCCTTTCACAGAAGAGAGAAACAGCAAGCACCAATGTAAGGGAAGAGAAGGGTTTGCAGTCACCCTCCACCAAACAGCACGCAGTTCCCAAATCAGTCTCCAGAAACTCGCCAGCTATGAGGTGGGTAAGGATCCCATTGCCAGCCCACTAAAACTGCACTAGGAGTACCACAATCTGTAAAAAGAAGTTTGCAAACACAGCCAAAGGGCTCTCAGTCTAAAGACAGCAGCTAGAGGAAACCCTCCAGACTCATTTTGACGTCCTACGGTTCTTCTGTTTGCTCTCAGCGATAACTTTCATTCATTTGCTCAACAAACGTTACTCTTGCTAGAACCCTGGATCAGGCAGCACCTAAGGGAAGCTAAGATCTGCCATGACGATGACGCTTCCCAAAAAGCCCTCCTCTGGCCGCTCCATACACCAGGGGCTCCTGCTTGGTATTATAGGTGCCCTGCACAGCCAGGGTTCTCCACTAGTCTGCCGGCTCCCAAAAGACCCGGACTCAGCTTCTCGCTCACTGATCACTTAGTTCGTTATTACCCAAACAAGTCATTAGATGCAACCGAGTTGAAGATAAAACTTCTACCCTTCCAGAGTCTCTTGCTTAGCTGTTGCTGAAAGCTTTGACCTCCCCCTCGGAGTCGGGGCAGACAACAAAGAAAGAACACGGGAGCGGGGGACGACTTGGAACTTCAGCCCCAACTGCAAAAAGCAAAGTGCCCCCAGGAGCCACAACTGGTTCAGACTCCCCCTGCTCCTCCTCTAATGTTTATACTCCTCTGAAAAACTCTTAGAGAATCCGAACCAGGACAGGAGTTACAAACAGAAGATGCTTAAGGAAGGAAGCCTTTAAGGCGAAAGACTCGGAGCAGGGGTGCCCCGGGCAGAAGGTGAACAAGGGTGCCCTGGTCATGCCCTGATACTTTTTTCTTCCCACACGACCTGACCTCATCCCTCCTTTCTTTTTCTTTTCCTTTGAAATTTTAACGGCATAGTCTCAAGGCTGAGCAGAACCGGGAAGCGAGGACAGAAAGCGAGCTTCCCCTCGAAAGGGTTACCTAACCTGGCAGCGACCTGTGTTTTCCACCAAGTCACCTCCATTGCCAGGAATCCCAGAAGCCCGTGGCGGGACCAGACGAAAGGAGGAGTCTCCCCGGGGTAGCATTCTAGGCCCGCCAAGTTAAAAAAAAGGAGTGAGAAGGAGAAGGAAGAGGCTCCAGCACCCAACTCGTGCCCGAGGGACTTGCCTGGGATGTTCTGTGCGCTCCTCCCCTACCCGCTGCCCGGGCAGTCCTTGCGGGGCTACTACCCCAGTGCTAGAACCGTGGAGAAGTTTCGCCGCTGCAAACGTGAGAAAAGGCAGCTCTGCAGGACACCGCCCCCACACGCCCCACCCCACAGCCCGACCCCTGGCGGTGGCGACCTCGGTCACCCTGAAGGCGCCAGTGCACGGGAGGAGGGGCTGCCTTTGGGCCTTTCCTGGGAGCTAGGGAGGTCACCAGGATCGGGCCACCTCCGGTCGCCGTCCACCACCCGGACTGGCGCCACCAAGCCCTCGCACCCGACTCCCCCCCGGCCAGCCGAGGCTGCTGCACCCCGGCCCTTGCGCCGCGCGCCTCTCCACCCGGACTCACCGCTCTGTGCGCAGCAAGGGTCGCATCGGGTCCCAGGGCTCTTGCGCCTCGGGGCTGCGGCTCCCCGCCCGTCCTGCCGCGCTCTTCTCCCCCACCCGCCGCCGTCCTCCACGGCCGTGTCTCTCGACTCTTTTTTCCGGGTTAATTACGTTTCGCATTAAAGCAAAACCCAGCCCCGGATGTGAGTACAATGCTCCGCGGGCCTCCGGGGGAGGAGAGGGGTGCGGGGACCGCGCGCGGGGGACGGCAGAGGGGGTGACAGGGGGAGGGGGGGATATGTGGCCCGGCCGCAGCAGGTGTCCACGCTGGGGTGCGCGACCGGCACTTCCCCAACCTACTCTGCAGGGCGCAGCCCGCCCAGCGGGTGGTGGCCCCGGAGCGCGAGGGGGCGTTGGGTTTGGAGGTGGAAAGAGGAGCGTAGCACCCTGCGGTCTGCAGTGCGCCCCGGGATCCCAGCGGGCCGCTGGCGCTCTGACCCGGCTTGCTCGGCCCTTGTCGGAGCAGTGGGAAACAGAAGCCTGGATTCGATAGGTTTGGCCTGGGGTGACCAGACAGAACTCCTGCTCCCTCGCCCTGCAGCCACACCGCAACCCATAGGTATCAATCCCTTGCCCGATGAGGAAACCGAGACTCCAAGACGTTAGGTAACATGCTCTGGGTCCCCAGTCAGTAGAGGGCAGGTCTGTCCGGTCTGACACAGGCCTTCCTCGTGGGGACATAGACATTTAAATATAAGTAAAGCCAGGCGGACAACATCCGAAACCTAAATATAGTGGATTCGCCCAGGGACTGTGCATCGAGAGATGCGGCGTCTGGGGGATGCTGATGTCAGCCCCGCGGGTCCTAAGCGTCCTTGGAGGGAGCAGCGCGAAACTCGCCCTGGGAGCCTCTGCAGGAACAGGCCTGGATTCGCGGGTGGGGAGGAAAGGCCAGCCCCCCAGCAGAGCAGTGCATGGCAAAGGCAGCCTGTACCAAAACCTGGGGGGCCGAGGGCCACAGCCAGGTGAGCCGACAGGAAGGCGGGACAGCCCGCAGCACACGCCCCGAAAGCTCCAGTGATGAAACCGCAGGCGCTTCCTCTTCTATTTTGATTGCCAAAGCGAAAATAAGCCGCCCAGTTCGCTCAGGTGTGAAAAAAGACGTTTGCTTTAGAACATTTTGCCCTGAATGAGGAAGGAAAGGACACAAGGTTGGGGGGAGCCATTTCCCTTGAAATAAACATCAACGTCAATGTTGCGCGTCAATGTTCGTAGAGGTCTGTTGCCCTGCACTTGGGCCTCAGGCAGCCTTACCCCAAGCTGGGTAAATCCCAGCCGGCTCCCATCCCCTAGGCAGCTGGTGACCCGTGACTCGATCGGTGCCTCGGTTTCTGCATCTGGGTCAGTGAGTCAATTCTTGCAGAGTGTCTCTTCCCAAAACAAATGTGCTATGTGATTTTTTTTTTTAACGAGATGGTCATTTTTACCGTAAAAAGGAGCATAATTCTTTGGGGGGAATTCGTACTGGAAACCATCAGCTCGGGTCGGATTTGCTGAATGAACGCTGCCCGAAAATCCCGCTGGGACGATACCTTAGCAGCAGTGCAGCCCAAGCGTCAGATTTCATGGTATGGTTCCTATTAAAACCCATAAAGCTGCTCCCGAGGGGGCCTTGCCTGACTCACCCAGTCACAGACCCACAAATATTTTCTGAACACTACTGTATGGGCTGCCTGGGAGGCAGAGAAGCCACGGGCCTCAATTTCCTTCATAGAGAGGGGGAAACCTTTGTCAGGAGGAATCCGCCTTCAGTATTCCGGAGTGCCAGAAGAGCCTCTGTGCCAGACAGGAAGGGATTCTCACGGGCTTTGAGTGAGGCTAATAAGTAGTTTAGGTCAGCTGAGGGAGGGCAAGAATGGGAGCTGAGGCAGGGTCACGCTTCCTGGGAGCCCCATTACTGCCATCGCCTCCATTTCTGGTAGGGACTAGATACTTTCTTCACTGAGTCGAGTTCGACCATCCTGGGTTTCCCAGACTTCTCAGATGGCCTGCTCCACCAGCTCTAACAAGCACCACCGAGCATGTCTGCAACTGTAGCCTGTCTCTGTCTGTCTGTCTGTCTGTCTCATAAAATACATATACCAGAAATCACACCATTGTGACCCATCTAAAGTGCACCTATGGGGACATTCAGTGGCATATTGTACACTTGTCACCACTGTACAGTTCCAGACAGTTTCCATCATCCCTACAGGTGACCTCACAGCATCCTCCTCTCCCTTCTCCAAGCCTTGAGTCATCACTATTCTGCTTTCCACCAAGTCGACATACACGGGACATTTCCCACAAGGGAAGTCAGGTGACAGTGGCTTTTGTATCTAGCTCCTCACACTTGGCATTTCATGATAAACTCCTTTTGAAACCTTTTCATTGTTTGACTTAATGCATTAACGTTGCCTCCCTGCCATAAACCAGCCAACAATGTGAGTCTTACCTCTAGAGAGAGGGACATCAAAGAAGATCTTTTACGAAAACTATTTTAGTCACCCCCACTGGATCCGTGCAACATAAAGTTCCAAAATTATTTAAGGTTTTGCAGCTAGTTAGTGGTTTCAGTTGGCTCCAGAACACTTAACTACTTAACAGGCTTCACTACTGCTAGAATCTTCCAACACAGAAACTGCTCCTGAAAATGGGAATATCTAGCAGGACCCAAGAATCTAAGCAGCCCGGCATCTAACACAGCTCTTTCATCACGTACTTTCTATTTTAAAAGCTGGTGAACTAGAGAAGCTAATGACATTGAGTGGTGAGCCAGTGTTCCCTCCGGGGAACTGTATTATTTCTTTGCCCTCAGAGGGCCCCATTATTAAGGTTCTGAGCTGCAGCTGGGGCCACTTGATGAGACCAAAGTCAATTCACTTGGTCCTCTTCAAAACAGTTTGGTTTGCCCAGAGATAAGCTGCTTTCCGGGCCATGCAGTGTACCTCCAAGATTCAGAGACGATTTTTCTAGGTAGTTGTTACTTTTCTTTTTTAAATGGCAAAGTGCCTTAAAGTGATTGTACCGGCCAATTCTAAGATGACTTAAGCTACTATTATTCTGCTCAGCTTTTGAGCCAGATATTTTTCTTCCCTTATACATTCTATTTTCTTCTTTTCTAGGGACATCCTGTTAAATGCTTTACATATATTCTCCAGTGCAAGTCTTACAATGGCACTGAGTGCCAGGAACCATTATTTCCCTATTTTGTATTGAAGAGATCAGTACTACCGCACTCTCAAGATGAAGCCTGGGTTCAGAACCTAGCAGCCTGATGCCAGTGTTTGCCCTCCTTCCCCTGAGCTAATTGACATGGGATGGGCCTTATAAAGACCCCGGGACAGAATGCAAGAATCCTACCCTCGGGCCTAGTCATCATATTTCCATTTCATCTATAATAACATATTGAAGGGCATGTCCTAAGGAAGTTATGGCTACATAAATACAAAGAGGTTTGCATATACAAATGTGTCTCTATGTGCACATTCAGTGCAGCATTCTTCACTATGGTAAGAATTGGAAGTCATTTAAGGGGTAGAACAGGTCAACATTGGTCCATGAATACATTCTTATACTGTGCCCTGACCAAGGAAGAACACAGTTAGGTTGGGAGCATGATTCAGTCAGCCCATGCTAAGCAAGCATCAGGAAGGCCCAGGTTCAGTTCAGAGAAGCAAAAGAAGAGCTAGAGAGAAGAGGGAAGAGGGAGGGAGAGAGGGGTAAAGAAGAAATCCTATTTAAAAACATTACGAAGCTACACATATAATACAAAATATAAATGTGAATGATTTATTCTGAATTTTTTAAATTATTTATTTTTACTTTATGTACATTGGTGTTTTGCCTGCATGTATGTCGGTGTGAGGGTGTCAGATCTTGGAGTTACAGACAGTTGTTAGTTGTTAGTTGCCATGTGGTTGCTGGGAATTGATCCCAAGTCCTCTGGAAGAGCAGTCAGTACTCTTAACTGCTGAGCCATCTCTCCAGCCCTTATTCTGAATTTTCTTTGGGTGGGGGGCGGTTTTGAGACAGGGTTTCTCTTTGTAGCTTTGGGATCTGTCCTGGAACTCACTTTGTAGGCCAGGCTGATCTCGAACCAGCCCGTGAGTGTGTGTGTGTGTGTGTGTGTGTGTGTGTGCGTGCGTGCGTGCGTGCGTGTGTGTGTGTGTGTGTGTGTGTGTGTGTGTACTTGCGTGTGGAGACCAGAGATTGCCCAGTATCTTGATCATTCTCTACCTTTCATTTACTCAGGCCCGGTTTCTCACTGAATCCTGAGTTTGCTGATTCAGCTAGTCTAAACAAACAAGCTTGCCCCAGGAATCCCTTGTCTCTACTGCTCCAGTGCTGGTTCATCATTAGGTCACAGTGCATACCCAGCTCTTATGTGGGTCCTGGAGATCCAAACTCCAGTCCTCACACATGTACAGCAAACGGTGTATTCACTGAGCTGACTCTCTAGCCCATGTTTGTTTTGTTTTGTTTTGTTTTTTGTAAAAATGCATGTGTGTATTTAGTTATCAAAAGAACAATTATTAAGTTTTAATGAAAATTAAGACTAGAGACATGCCTCAGTGGTTAGGACCACTGACTATTTTCCAGACTACCTGGGTTCAATTCCCAGCACTCACATGGCAGCTCACAACTGTCTATTAACTCCAGTTCCAGGGGACCTGACATCCTCACACAGACAGACATACAGGCAGGCAAAACACTAACATCACATCAATTTTTAAAAAATAAATAAGTTTTAACACAATTTAAAAGTTCTATGAGATGGAAAATCACATTGCAGTCCTTGAAGGTACCCCCTTGAGTAGGGAGGGACTATGATGGGTAGGGAGTTAGTGTAACAGACAGAGGCACACAGAGCAGGGGAGAGATTTGGGAGAGATGAAGAGCCAGCTATGGATGGGGATACTAAGGAAACAGGACCTTGAGAAGACCCCGAAGGATGGAT